CGAGCACTTTTTTTTTCTAAGCCAAGTTAAATTCTCTTCCATGGCTCCATTTTGGGATTGTATACTTTGTTTAAAGGTGAGAGTTCTACCCAGCTTTTTAAAGCTGAAAACAGGGGCGCCTGGGTGGCTCAGTCGTTAAGCGTCTGCCTTGGCTCAGGTCATGGTCCCAGGGTCCTGGGATCGAGCCCTGCATCGGGCTCCCTGCTCGGTGGGAAGCCTGCTTCTCCCTCTCCCTCTCCCGCTGCTTGTGTTCCCTCTCTCGCTGTGTCTCTGTCAAATAAATAAATAAATAATTAAAAAAAAAAAGCTGAAAACAGAAGTTAAGGAGTCTAAAAGGCATAGTGGAATTATTTGAAAACAATTTTGGCCTTCAGTGGAGGAAAGTTGTTCAAGTTTTAATTGATTCATTGTTATATCTCACCTTATTCCTGGAAAGGATTAAGGTGACAGGTACATACAAAGACTTTCTCCTTCACAGCCATGCTTTGTGAATGGGTTGCTAAGGTTCACTTTATCACCTTCCAGTCACTCCTTCATCATTACTTCTGGCTCTGCCCTGCTCACCCGTTGTAGTTCTTATAGTGGGGTCACCAGGGATCTCCTTCAATTTTTCTTGGCCAGACCTGTGTCAGTCTGCCTACTAGATACCTGTCAGGCAACACTTTTTAAAATCAAACTTACCTCTCTTCCCCTGCTCCAAATCTGTTTAGCCACCTTTTTCACTATCTCACTAAAAGGTACCCCTCCTAATCCAGTTGCTGAAGCCATAAGCTGAGGACCCATCCTTGACACCTCTCCCTCAACCTCCACTTAAAATCAGCAACTAAAGTTCCTGTCTGTTGTTGCTTATTAATACATTTACTTATTGTCTCTCTGCTCACAGCACCTTAGCCAGACTGTTTCTCACTTACCTCAGTTTCCTAAAAGCATCATTTACTTTTGAACCTCTTAGGACTTTGTGTATCTTCCTTTAGGGCTTAGTTTAGAAAATCAGGGATTCTCTAACTTATGTCTATACCCTCAAGACTAAGCTTGGTGCTGGTGGTTCCCTCTCGTCCCTTCCTACACCCCTTCCTTCCGTGTGTTGTCCTCCCCCACCTCCTTGCATGGGCTCTCCCAGCACCCATATTCTCTTTATAAACACACATCACATTCTATTGTAATTGCTTATTGACTTTTCTGTCTCCTTAAGGGCAGCGACTATGTCTTACTCATGATTGCACCAGTAATATCCAGCCCAGAGTGTTCAGTAAATTTCTGACAATAAATAGATAGTAGGAAATGAGTGGTAGTTAGTATGAAAACAGTGTTGAAGCTGTTGTGTTAGTTTTATGGTTCTGGTTGCTTTAAAATTTGCATCACTTTTAAGTGCTATGATTGGCCTTCATCTACTACTGGGTCCTATAGGTAGTGGTTCTGTGCATAAGCTCCCGAAGTGTGAAGTAGAGTAGAGTAGGGCAAAGCAGGAATGAAGCTGATAGGTTGTCTGGGTGGGCTCCACTTTGCATGCCATTGATAAAGAGGTTAGGCTTTCTTAAGGGTAACGATCATGTAGCAGAGATAAGATGGCTGCTTAAACTAGGGCACTGGAGCCAGAAATGAAGAAGAGGGAGCATTTTAGTGACCTAGTGATTGGATATGAGCCAGGGAGGAGGAATCTTTAAGTGACCCAGCTTTCTGGCTTGATTGGCTAGGTCTGCTTGATGCTTTCATTAACTAGGTGTGTTGATTCTTGAGATTCTGACATCCAGCTATGTCTGTGAGGCAGGCAATAGGATATGAAGTTTGGGAGAACACACCACTGGAGAGTCATCAGTATATGGTTGTTAGAACTACAAGACAGCACTTACCTATGTAGCCTGAGTAATAATGGTCTAGAAAAAGAAGAAACTGAGGAACATGGACGTTTAAGGCTGGGGAAGAAGAGAAGATAGCTGGGAAAAAGCAGTGTCAAACTGAGGAGTTGGGAGTTAAAGAGGAAATTTGGCCATAAAGGGGCCATTGACTTTTTCTGTGCTTTAAAGAGAAAAAAACAAGTAAGAAAATGGGTCTTTAACCAGCTGTTAGAGTAGATGCTTGGGTCTGGACCACCTGCAGGGCTTTCTGTTGGGCAGCTCCACCTCACCCCTCAGCCCAAATCCAGAACCCCACTGGCATTCTTACAGCAGATCTAACACATGACCTTAAATCCCATCCAACTTAAATCTAAAGGTTAAAAACAGCAGAAATTCTGGATCCAATCCCAGAAATTCTGATTCACTGGGCCCAGGGATCTTAATTTTTTACAAGGATATTTCTGATTGTCTAAGGAACATTCATGTGTAGGTAGGTGCTAGAGCCCATCATTTTATTTAATTGCAAGAAAGCAGGACTTTATTATGGTGCACTTTAAAGTACAATTGTGATGAAGAGATTGGCAACCATGGAAACCTGGCTGGAGCTTTCCACAGTGCCTGTCTGTGTTTATGGGGGTGTGGTGGTGTAATCTGTTAGAGATGTAAAGTTGCTATCTTACAGGTTTTGTGGCAGATGCCCCTGGTGCCCTGCATCATATCCTTGTGGTCTACCACTGATTTCAACCCAAACTCAGATTTCCAGTTTCTCACTTAGCACTCTAAGTCTTGCCAACACTTTTCTGTTTTCTGCCTCAGGACCTTCAAGCCCAGCAAAGGAAGGAGGGAGGTTGATATCCTGGCCAACCTTTAATTAAGTAGGGGACAGGAGCCCATGCCTAATCATTGTGCTTCCTTCAGGGGTCCCACAGACTCGTCCCCTACCCTCCAGCAATCACCCTGTTTGCATCAAATGACCTCACTGGCTTTTCTCCTTCCCAGTTGTACCTTCCCTCACTTCTGTTCCCTAGGATCATCTCTTATTTTAATCCTGCTAAAACCCTGTCCACTACCAATGTGTCAGTTGAGCTGACTTCACAGGTTAATAAATGCAAACAAAAGCCTTCCATATTTACATTAGTTTCTTCTTAATGCCCCTGCCTATCAATAATAGCACCTAAAATAATGTGTGGGGGAAGAAGGCGAAGAGAACATATTGTGCAATGCAGAATGGCACACACATTGCTGAAGTTTAAATTTATTCATAGACATTCTGTAATGAGATCATTATGTGAGAACTTATTGAATTTTTCATTTCTTTGATTTCACTTCAAGGATGGTTGAAGGGAATATGAAAAACCAGAAAATCGTTGACACAGCGCTAGATGTGTCTCTTTTTATTCATTCATCTATTTTATTCCTATATATTCATCTTATTCTTGAAGAAGTCTCGGTGGGTCTTTTTGTAAGACTATATAAATGATAGAAAACTATTAAAAATGATATAGTGCAGGAAAGGGGGGAACATCGCAGATTTAGGATAGAAATTACCAAAGATCATCAACAAACCAATCTGATCTATTTCAGGGATATCTTTGAAAAGATACTTTGTCTTAAATGCAAGATTTCTCATCACCTAGCTAGAAAATATTCATATTCCTGTTTCTTCTTTTAGCTAAGCCCAGACTCAAGGAAGTAAGAGTTGAAAGGTGAACAAACTTGTCCTGGATGATCACTTTCATCCTTGACAATTAAAATTAATATTTGAAAGCAATTATCGTAGAGCCTGACACGTTGCAGGCAATCACTAAATGCTGTAAGGTGAATGATAAAGGAATATGCTGAGTTGCCGAATATGTATGTCCTAGACTGGTGTCCCCATGAGTGAGAGTAGGGAAATGTTTCTATTACTTGCTAGACTTGTGGGGGCTCTTGCCACCAACCTCTGATTGCAGTTGTTTATTTTTGTCTGTAGGTTTATTTTGTAGGAGACCAGGCATCCCTACAAAACACTTTTCTCAGTGCACAGTGTTCTGCTAACAATGGCTATTTTACTGTAAAAATTGATTAGATCATTAGATAATTTAGTATTCCAACTCCTCAGTCAACATTTCAAGTCAGACCCAGAGAGGAAGTGACTTGTCCAAGTTAAACTCACCAACTCTAGCTAATTAATGATACAGCAAGGACTAAAACACACATGTAAATGTGTGCAATCGCATGTAATCATCTTTCTGATTTCTAAGATGGCTCCCATCTCCTCCAGCCTTGGTCAGGGAACAAAACAGGGCATTGTTTTTCTGAACTAGTGCCAAATGGTTTTGAGACTTAAGGATTATGGAACAGTTCTGTATTTGATTTAAGGTATTTGGAGGAAATTTGACAGTTAAGAGCTTAAACAATTAGATGATTTAGAAAATCAAGACTAGAGACCCCTAGCTGGGTGGCTCAGCTGGTTAAACGTCCGACTCTGGATTTCAGCTCAGGTCATGATCTCAGGGTCATGAGATCGAATCCTGTGTCAGGCTCCCCACTCAGCGTGAGTCTGCTTGAAATTCTCCCCCCTGCCCTTCCCCCTGCTTACGCATGTGCGCGTGATCTCTTGCTCTCTCAAATAAATATATAAAATCTTAAAAAAAAATCAAGACTAGTAGATGGGCACAGTATATAAGCAAACAGGTGAAAAAGTATAAACATCTAAAATATTCAACAGTAAGAGAATAGCACAGAAAGCAGTACGACGTTTTGATAGACTGTTTGCAGCCAATAAAATGCTAGCCATGATGACTTAGAAATAGGGTCAGTCTACTAGGGATTCTGGCCAGTTCACCTTGTATTTGGAGGTTTTCAGTAAGTTATTTTTAACATTTAAAGGACTAATTTTATGTGTAGAATGTTAACTAATGTCAGTTTCTGAAATTCACTGTCTATTCAGCTTCAAATTTACCAATTTATTTTCTGGCCTATACACCACGGAAAGTGGTTGTTTTGCTCTTGTGATTCTTGATCTGTACATTAAAAACTAGCTGAAATGAGAGTTGGTATGGTAAAGATTTAATGAACTGACAAAATATTTCTATTACTTGCTAGAACGGTCAGAAGATTATATGTTAACTTTTCTAAAAACAAAAGTACTATTTTAATCAAATATGTATTTCTTTCCTGTAGAGCCTCTGTTATGCACCTAAAGCCATATTGGAAACTCCAGAAGAAAGTGCGACCTCTGGAAATCAGCAAGGAAACTCTGAAAACTCCTATGAGCCACCAAGAAGCTATAGATCATGAGAAATGCAAAGCTAGCTACGTGAAACCAAGTGTCTTTCCTTCACCCTCTCTTGGTAAAGCATCATCTCGAAAGCCTTTTGGGATTCTTTCTCCAAATGTTCTGTGCAGCATGAGTGGGAAGAGTCCCATAGAGAGCAGCTTGAATGTTAAAACCAAGAAGAATGCACCATCTGCAACAATCCACCAGGGTGAAGAAGGGGAAGGGCCGCTTGATATCTGGGCTGTTGTGAAACCAGGAAATACCAAGGAGAAAATTGCATTCTTTGCAGCCCACCAGTGTAGCAATAGGATAGGATCTATGAAAATAAAAAGCTCCTGGGATATTGATGGGAGAGCTACTAAAAGAAGGAAAAAATCAGGGGATCTTAAAAAAGCCAAACTACAGTTAGAAAGGATGAGGGAAGTCAACAGCAGGTGCCACCAGCCTGAGCCCTTTGCGTGTGGCATCGAGCACTGTTCTGTGCATTATGTGAGTGACAGTGGCGACGGCATCTATGCCGGGAGGCCTCTGTCGGTCATACAGATGGTCGCCTTCCTTGAGCAGAGAGCCAGTGCCCTGCTAGCTACCTGCACGAAAAACTGCACTAACTCACCTGCCGTGGGGAGGATTCCTGGGCAGTGCCGAGGTGTGCTCCCAGCCTCCGAGCCCTTTTCTGCTCCCGGAGCTTGTGAAGAATCCACGGAGAGAGGAAATCCTGAGGTTGGGGAACCACAGAGTGAGCCAGTCCGTGTCCTTGACATGGTAGCCAGGCTGGAGTCTGAGTGCCTGAAGCGGCAGAGCCAGCGTGAGCCTGGGAGCCTCTCGAGGAATAACAGCTTCCGTCGGAACGTGGGCCGGGTGTTGCTTGCAAATGGCACTCAGGCTAATGAAGGCAAAACAAACGAAGGCGCCTTGGAGGCACCAGACACTCAGGGGAATCCTGTGGGGTCTGTATCTGTGGACTGTGGCCCCTCAAGAGCTGACCGTTGTTCTCCTAAGGGAAATGAGGCCTGGGACAGTGCTCCTCGGGGCTGTCCCCCATTGCCAGCAAGTGTGAATTTCCTCACGGACGGTGCAAAATTTGAGCCAGATCAGCACACTGCTATGAAAAACGGCGATAGATATGATGTGGAAATGACAGAGGAACTTGCCGGCTCGCCTTTTCCTCCTCACGCCTGCTCTCAAGCCATTGGATTGCCCACCGATGCTGTTGATTGTATGAGGAGAGAGCTCGCGCCGCTTACTAGCCAGAGTCCTGATCAGAGAAGAAGGGGATCTTTGTGCATTAGTATCACTGTGTCCAAGGTAGAGCAAGGCCAGCCTTCTCGTTCAGAGCCCTGCGAAGACCCACTTCCGGGGATGTTGTTCTTTTTGCCACCTGGTCAGCGCCAGCCAGACTGTTCGCAGTTGAGTGAAAGCACAAGGGGGACCGCTGAGGCCGGCCGGCTTCACGATGCTGCGGAGGGTGACAGTGCATCAGAGGAAGAAAGGGTTCCCGCGGATGCCTTCGTCCTGCCAGCATCTCCGGTGGAAAGTGCATTCCCGGTGCTGGAGGCAGCCGGTGGGAAGAAGCAAGTGTCTCATGACTTTCTGGAGACCAGGTTTAAAATCCAGCAGCTTTTGGAGCCTCAGCAGTACATGGCGTTTCTGCCCCACCACCTCCTGGTGAAAATCTTCAGGCTGCTTCCCACCAAGAGCTTAGTGGCTCTCAAGTGTACCTGCTGCTATTTCAAGTTTATCATTGAATACTACAACATCAGGCCGGCAGACTCCCGCTGGGTGCGAGATCCACGATACAGAGAGGACCCTTGCAAGCAGTGCAAGAAGAAATACGTGAAAGGGGATGTGTCCCTGTGCCGGTGGCACCCCAAGCCCTACTGCCAGGCATTGCCCTACGGGCCAGGGTACTGGATGTGCTGCCACCGGTCTCAGAAGGGCTTCCCCGGCTGTAAGCTGGGGCTTCATGACAATCGCTGGGTCCCTGCTTGCCACACCTTCAATCGGGCAATCCATAAGAAAGCAAAGGGGACCGAAACTGAAGAGGAATACTAAATCTGTGTGAGAGGCGACAAAAGGACTGATCTTTAAAATTGCAAGCCACCACCTAGATCTACCATTCAAGTGAAGGTTGCCTCTCCGAGCCCGCACTCTAGGAGAATCTGTACTTACTCCATCAGGACTGCCATTGCTCAGGCATTTTTTTTTTTTTTTTTAAACTCTTGCTTTATGAGCTATACAAGGAAATTGGTCTCGTTGCTTTAGAGTGGCGCCTCCCATTTGGCCCAGGGTGGTATCCCACGGTTTGATTCACTTGGCTGTGAATATGCCTGTTCTCCCAAATCAAATCCATCCTCAAAGGACAAAGACTTGCCACCATCCAGGACGTTCAGAAGAGTTCATCGCAGACTATGCAGGCAGTCCCCAAAAAAGGGTCCCAGAAATGTTTTAAGCACTGGCACCATATTTGAAATAAGTGAATAGTGTCCTATGGAAAGAAGAGCAGCACTCTTCGGATGAAAAGTATGCTTACAAAGGAAAAGTCAGGCACCTTACCTTAGCCCTTGTATGCTTGATCTGTGCGATTGAAGTTTGTGGTTGGAGATGGATTTCATGCCCTGTGGTGTTTACAGTGTATATAATGGTTGTGTTTTCATAGGGCTATGAAAGTGCACATTAAACCCGAGCGCCTTTACCTTAGATGAGTGCTTTTGGCCCCTCTGTAAATAACACTATTAAATCCAGTTGTATATAGTGGACAACAGACTGAACATAATCCCCACAATGCAGCTAGGATGGTGTTGCGGCTACAATTGTGTGGTTTTTTGTTTTGTTTTTTTTAAATCGTCTCGTCTTAAACTTGTACATCCTGTATAAAATATGAATGTTTCCCAAATAAACTATGAATGTTTCCTGTATAATATATGAATGTTTCTGAGAAGAAACTCTAAATAGTTAAGAGGTTAACCTGTTGAAGATACCAAATAATGGTTTAACTGGACAACCTTATAATTAGCATAGAGAACAATCCTTTGTTATATTTTAGTGATCCTCCAAGAATGAGAAGATATTATATAGTCAGATTATAACATTCTTGTCTACTTTACTCTGTCTGGTTACAAATTTTTTTTTTTAACTTCAATAAAAACATGCATCTTAAATGGGACCTGCGTTGCTGACGCTTTTTCTTCCTTTTTTGAGGTTAATAATGGAGAATTATGTTGTGAATTGAATCATAAGAATTTAAAAATTTTTTTGAGTTGTTAGGGGTTGGGAGAGAGAAAATTGTTTTTCTGCCACGGAAAAGAGACCATCTTCAGTTAACATTATGAGCTAACATTTTTGCAACACTTTATGCTTATTTTGAATTTGTCGTCTTCCCATAACTGCTACATCCCCTGTTGGAGGCCTGTGTCACAGCTTGTCTAGTAATCGTTAAGTCGGTGAGGAAATACTCAGGTCTGTGGTCCTGTAGTGCTGGGTGGGGCTGGAAGGTGTTGGGTCCCAAAAAGCTGCTATGAAGGCCCTAGCAGCTAGGTTGGTTTGAAATCAGGTACCCACCAAAGCCCGTCCGCTTCACGCTGTGGAGGAGCGTGATCAATGTTGCAGGGAGGTGACGAGTGCAGGCGGGGATGGCCCTGAAGGAGCGTAGAGGTAGAGGTTGCGTAGGCTTCAGCTAGGTCAGCCAGGCAGAGTGGGATAGGACAGGAGCCAGGTGGAGCCAGGGTCACCTGTGGCGAGGTGCTGGTGGCCAGGGAGCGGCCTCCACCCTGGAATCTGCCTTGGGCTCTCCTGCCCCTTAGCCGGAGGCAAGCTGCTCCTTCCTCCCTGAAAAGGCAGGGTACTAAAACTGGGAAGTGTCTCTCAATGCCGAATAAGTCTGTTCCTGTCGGGCAACGATAAAGATACCTCTGACCGCACTAGGCCGGAGCCTGTGACACGGGACGAGGAGAGGCTGAGAAGAGCTTACCTTCACGGTATCTGTGCCCTTCCTCATGGCTCGCCTCAGCGGAGGTATGTTGGAAATGCTTTTCAGTTCGAGCGCCCTGGGCTGAGGTTTCCAGTGCTCGCCCTTCTCCCCTGCGGTTTGCTAGACTGGCGGTCTCCGCATGCCTTCCTGATAGCTTTGTCATGGCTCAGGATTTAGGATTCAAGCCAATCTGCGCACACAGGATTTAGAGTACAGCTGGGCGTGTGGTAAGTGCCCGGGAAACCTAGCTGTCGTCGTCACTAGCTGTTGGTTCTATGTTTGCCCAGGTGGACGCACAGGATAAACAATCGTTTTGGTTGGTTTTCCCAAGTCAGCCATTCCGGATCTGGGTTTTGCATGGGGCACAAAGCCATGACTCGGGCTGAGAGCAGAGGACAAGGTAAGAATGCCCCAACCCCGTCTTGGCATGTGATTCTCGGGGGCCTTGGAAGTCACTGACCCCTTTTGAACATTGTGGCCGGGCCCTGTTCCCAGTGCTGTGTGAATGATGGAGGATTTTAGCAGGTGGCCTCAGAGGGCCCCCCGCCCCTGCTCCTGATTGAGACGGGTGTAGCTTTCCGCTGAGGGGAAAGGTGCTGTGCGTCAGAGCCCCCTAGTGCCAAGCTGCCGAATTCTGGCAGCACTGCGGCGGTCCCTGCGGTCCCTGCTTTGCTGTGCTGCTGTAGGACTGTGGGCTCCTCAGAGAGGGCCTAGCAGTGTGGACACCAGGACCCTAGCCTCCTCCCGGCCATGGGGACCCAAATAAAGACAACTTCCACCTTCGGCTTTTGTTCGGAGGCTTTGATGTGCCCGGCCTAGTTTTCCTCTCCCACTGTTAGAAAAAAATCATAGAAATCTGGGAGTCAGAGAGCCCTCTACCCCCGTCTCTGGGGCAGTCTGGCTTTGTCCCCTGTTCAGCGGAGGACACCAGATAGCCAAGGCAGGGGTGAATTGGAAATGGGAAAGGGGCAAAGAGAAAAAATTTGTTTTCAGGCTTTATCAAAATGACTCTGGCATTAAAATGGCCATGTGAAAGGACCATTCAAGACTGACGGCGTACCCTGCCTGAGCTCTGTGCTCGGGGTACCTCCTTGGGGACCACCCTGGCCTGTCCCACCCTCCTCATTTGGCTGCCATCTACATCTCCTGCCACTCTCCCATTTTATGGATCGATCGTGCTCCCCCACCACTCTAGCTTCAGAGAGAGCAGCTTGACCAAGCTGGGGATGGTCATGCCATCCCCGCGGTGCCTCACACACAGTACATGCTGCTAGTGACCATCTTCCTGTGAGGGGTGCTGGCACGTTCTGGTGGTCCTGAGCTGTGCTGTAATTTTCCATCCCAAGTATGAGAAACCTTAAGTGGGAGGATTAAAGGGATCTAGGAGGATTATAGCTGGTTCCATGGGGCCATTCTTGGTTAGAGATGTTCCCAAAGCAGCCCTCTGAGTTTGCTGGGTAACCGTCAGTTGTGCATTTGGTATGATCTGGGCTCTGTTGCTGGTGGCTCTTCTGACCACAGGCTGCTTTGGGCCTTGTGGCTGCAGAAGGCTGTGGGCTGACGGTTATGCATGATCTAGGGGCTCCCTTTCCAGGCTCTGTCCAAATATCCCTTCTACCTTGGACTTGTCAGGGTGTCCCTGCCTACCTGTATGGACTGGCCTTGGAGATTTTTTCTTACATGGGTATTCCCAGGCATCTTCCACAGCTTTCACTGCCTTCATTCTTCACTCAGCAGACTGGCTATTCATCCTCTCCTTTGTCCCACAAAAAGAGACAGCCTGCCTCAAAACCGGAATGAAGCCAGTCTGCCCCAAACTTCGTGCTGTGTATACTGCAGACTTCACTAGTAAGAGCTGAGGTTACATAGCTCTTCCTGTCAGGTACCATGTTGCATTGAAACGCGTTCTCTACCGTGCACCTCGCCTAGCATTTGGGGAAGCTGCTCCTTGCTATCCCTGTTTTTCCTCTGGGTTCAAACAAGCTAGTGTTGCAATCTTTGTGAGTTGGTAAAAGTACCTCTGGTGGGAAATGTGCAATCCCTTCTGTTGACGTTCATGCTGTTCCTAAGTTTGTGGCCATAGCTAGTGTTTGCACAACCTCATGGGAAGAGCAAACATCATCGCGGTCATGCTCCCACAGGTGACTTCCAGTGTATTTATGCCTAAGCAAAACCAGGCAGGCAGCACCCCTATTCTAGGCGGTTCATTTGGCCTTGGTGTTATCTTAGAGGAGCGGAGCCACTAACGTTGGTAGCTGGGGAGTCAGGAACAGAGGGGTGATAGTCTCTTAAGCTGCAACCAGTCTTGTGAGAGGTGATGTTCCTTTAAAAAGCAAAATGAACTTCCCCCATCCCCAGACAGGCCCTCCCATCCACTCTTCAGTTAGCAGAGAAAAGGCCTCAGGATAAATTAGTTGGGGACCCTTTGTCTCAAATTCTCTTTGGAACAATGAAACACAGCAGGAATTCGGTTCTAAAGTTGGCATTTAGGGGAGAAATGGCATACAGCTGAAATTACTTTTGGAAATCCTCTGTGTCCATCACCCAGTAGAGAACGATCTGTGCCACGCGTAGTGGTGAGAAAGGTCGAAGGCGTGAAAGAGAAGGTGCTCTTCTGTGCACAGCAGAAACAGGCTTGCGGAATGGGCACACTCCCTGTCCCAGTTAATCACGGCCTATCACCCGAGCTCTTTACTTCCTTCCCCCCTCCCCGCCCCCGTGACAGTTGATTTCCAAACTGGCATTTTCAGGTGTCAGTTAGTTAAGCAGTATGAAGAGTATGATGCAGTTCTTCAAAAACCAAATTCAAACTAAGTTGCCGATCAGTAAAATGTAGAGAGCGAGATTGTATTTGTGTCAGTCCCTGTCTAGTAATGAGGTTAGTTAGATGTCCCATTTGCACAACTGTTTGCAGTCCAGTAGGAGTTCAGGTGTTGCCAGGCCTGACCCAGCAGCCTTCCCCATTCCGGGACTTAGCTGTTGGCCTTCAGTCTGCTCTTCCTCATCAAGCCCCCTTTCTGTAGGCCGCTGAGCAGGATTCTCCCACAGGGCATGTAGCCTGCCACTTTCATTTCAGCCTTGATGGACTCCTAAGAAGAGATGGTGAATGAGGCTGCCCCAGTACGCAGCTGGGACCTCTCCCGTTTCCTGTTTCTTTTCCATGGCCAGTGGTCTTGGCTTAAGGCCCCTCAATTTGTTCTGGTCTGTGCTCTGGTTCTTCACTGCACAGGGTCTCAATAGGAAACTGGGGGCACACCCCAAATGAGCGAAATCAAGGAGGATTTATTCTAAGGGTGTAGGTATAGGGGCAAGCCTTCCCCAGTATTTTTGTGGCTCAGGGCAAGAATACAAGTATGACCCTTCTTTGGTCCCCTCTTCTTTGGTCCCCCCTTCTTACTTTTTTTCACATTGATGACATGTTGAAATAATATTTTTGGGTATTTTGAATAAAATGTAAAAATTTTTACCTATTACCTTTTTAATGAGACTAACAAAATTTAGTCACATGCAAATTCCATTATTTCCACTGGACAGTGCTTATTCTGATTCAGTAGTGCCCCAAATCCTGCATTTTTTAATACAGACTCATTTATAATCCCATCTTTTAAAAAATATTGATTATTGGAGTGTAGTTGACAATGTTCTATTAGTTTCAGGTGTGATTCAGCAACATAGTGATTCAGCAGTTCTATACATTATTACTCAGTGCTCACCACAGGTAAGTATAGTTACCATCTGTCACATACAGTGTTGTTGCAGTATTCCTCCCTGTGCTGTACTTCGCATTTCTGTGACTATTTTTTAGTAAGCTCTATGCCCAATGTGGGGCTTGAACTCATGGCCCGAGTGAGTTGTATGCTTTACTGACTCAGTCAGCCAGGCGCCCCTGTGACTGACTTTGTAACTGGAAGTTTATACCTCTTAATCACCTTCACCTGTCTCCTCCATCCCCTCTACCCCTCTGTCGACCACCCTGTCTCTATTGATGAGTGTATGCATTTTTTTGAGATGAAATCATGGTGTTTCTCTGTGTGGATTATTTCACTTAACGTAATACCCTCTAGGTCCATCCACGTTGTCACAAAAGGCAAGATCTTTTTCTTTTTTTATGGCTGAGTAATAGTCCGTTGTGTATATCACCATATCTTCTCTATTCATCTATCGATGGACATTTGAATTGCTTCCATATGTTGGCTTTGTAAGTAACACTACCATAAACATAGGGGTACATATATCTTTTTGAAATCAGTGTTTTCATTTTTTTTTTTTTAATTATTTATTTGACAGAGAGAGAGACAGCGAGAGAAGGAACACAAGCAGGGAGAGTGGGAGAGGGAGAAGCAGGCTTCCCACGGAGCGGGAGCCCGATGCGGGGTCGATCCCAGGACCCTGGGACCATGACCTGAGCCGAAGGCAGACGCTCAACGACTGAGCCACCCAGGCGCCCCAGTGTTTTCATTTTCTTTGGGTAAATACCCAGTAGTGGAATTACTGGATCATATGGTAACTCTTTTACTTTTTGAGAAACCTCCATACTATTTTCCACAGTGGTTGCACCAGTTCACATGGTGAACAAAGGTTCCTTTTTCTCCACATCCTCGCCAACATTTGTTATTTCTTGTCTTTTTGATACTAGCCATTCTGACAGGTGTAAGGTAATACCTCATTGTGCTTTTGATTTGCATTTCCCTGAGATGAGTCACGTTGAGAATTTTTTCATATGTCTGTTGGTCATCTGCCTTAAGATTTTAAGTAATCTCTACACGTAATGTGGGAAACTCACAACCCTGAGATAAAGAGTTGCCTGCTCCACTGACTGAGCGAGCCAGGAGCCCCTCTGCCTTCTTTAGAAAAAAAGTCTATTCAGGTTAGGACTTGGATTGATTTTTTTGTGTGTGTATGTGTGAGTTGTATAAAAAATACATATATATATATTTTGCATATTAACCCTTTTTTTGTATGTGTGAGTTGTATAAAATATATATATATAATATATATATATATTTTGCATATTAGCCCCTTACTGGATATATCATTTGCAAATATCTTCTCCAATTCAATAGGTTGCCTTTATGTTAATGGTTTCCTTTGCTATGCAAAAGCTTTTTATTTTGGTGTCGTCCCCAAATCCCATACTGTGTATGTGTTCTTTGAATTTTATGGTTTCAAGTCTTGCATTTAGGTCTTAACTCCATTTTGAGTTTTTCTGTGTGTGTATGGTATAAGAAAGTGGTCCAGTTTCAGTAGCTGTCCAGTTTTCCTATTTAGAAACGGTCTTTTCCACATCGTATATTCTTGCCTCCTTTATAACGTAGATTAATTGAGCATATACATGTGGGTCCATTTCTGGGCTCTCTATTCTGGTCCGTTGATCTGTGTGTTTTTGTGCCAGTACCATCACGTTTTGAGTACTACAACATTGTAGTATATCTTGAAATCTGGGGTTTGTGATACCTTCAGCTTTGTTGTTCTTTCTCAAGACTGCTTTGGCTTGGGCGCCTGGGTGGCTCAGTTGGTTGAGCGACTGCCTTCGGCTCAGGTCATGATCCCGGAGTCCCGGGATTGAGTCCCGCATCGGGCTCTGTGCTCAGCGGGGAGCCTGCTTCTCCCTTTGACCCTCCCCACTCTCATGTGCTCTCTTTTTCTTGCTCTCTCAAATTTTTTTTTTTTTTTTAAGATTTTATTTATTTGACAGAAACATAGCGAGAGAGGGAACACAAGCAGGGGGAGTGGGAGAGGGAGAAGCAGGCTTGCCGCTGAGCAGGGAGCCCGATGCGGGGCTCGATCCCAGGACCCTGGGACCACGACCCGAGCCGAAGGCAGACGCTTAATGACTGAGCCACCCAGGTGCCCCTCAAATAAATCTTTAAAAAAAAGAAAGAAGACTGCTTTGGCTCTTCGGGGTCTTTTGTGGTCCATACAAATTTTAGGATTATTTACTCTATTATTTATTTTTTTTTCAGGGTATTTTCTCACCAGATCCTTGGAGTGTGCTGGTGTTGGCTTTCTCTCATTGACCATTTCACAGCTGAAGTTTAGAGGACTTGCCCAAAGCCCACTCCATTTTGTTGATGGACTTTTAATGACCACCCATCCATTAAGGACAAAGCTATCCTTAGTGCTTCCCGTCGGCTTCACCCTGATTCCTGCATCAGTCATGATGTAACTCTGGGGTAGGCACTCGACAGGAGCATGGTTTTTAAGTGTTACCTAAGGAAATAGAAGGGCACTAGCCCTGAAGCACATGCCCTATTTATTTGGGAACCCTTCCGTTTCCTTGCCTGGGTTCCTCCTGCTGCTGGGTGGCTTTCTGCAGGCAGCAGTTCTGCCGTAATCACTCCTGGTATCCCCGTCTACCTGCAGGTAACCCCTCTCTATGATCTAACCTGAAGGGGGGTGGAGGGAAGAAGGGGGAGTGATTTTCCAAACTACTTGGTTTTCATCTCAATTTAATAGATCCCCTCTAACCTCCCATACTTCGCTTTCTCTCTTGTCCTGAAAAGTCTGGGCAGGTTCCAAATGGGCAACCTCCCCACGGAGGTGCTGTGAGACACCCAAGTCACTGTAGGGCACGTGCATCCTATGATGGCTACAAAAGAAAAATGCAGCTTTAGAGAGAAAGTATGTAACTGGTAAGCAACTAGTTCTTCCAGCTTACCAGAGATGGACCGTTATTGTTAATACCACCATAAGCTATAATTTTTAGGATTACCAGACCTTTTTCCTTACCTAGCAAAAAAATTCTTAAAAAAATTACCCTAGTTCGTATAAATTATTCCAGAGTTAAATCTCATTTTTGCTACCCTCAGTGTATCAAAAGAAACAAGTAATCAGAGTTTGAAAAAGACACACATATTAGCAAAGTACTCTTAAAAGATTTATTGCAATAATACAATAAAAGTTTAGAAAACATTTGTTATGACTCCAACTGGTTTGGAAGTCGCAGAGTAATGGGAAATTCCTGCAACATGACACCACGAGGAGATTCTCAGATGTAGTTGTTCTAAAAACAGCATGCCCCCAAATGTTTCCCAAATTATCGATACATGAATCCTTAAGTGAATCCTGTCCATACACCCAGTGTTGACATACTGTTTTTCCCCTTAACTTACAGATGTGCAAAAATTCTTATATTCCATTACAAAAAAGGTCTTTAACAGACCATTTTAAGCAGCCTATTTGGTGCCTGTAGGTTTTTATTAGTATTACCTTGTTTCAACAAATCGTTTTATATGGAAAACATGACCAAGTTCTATGGCTTTTGTTTAAAAAAAAAAAAATACCAGCTTCAATTTTTTAAAAAGCTGTTTACATATGGTTCTGGCACCTACATGAAAGATTTTAATGAGCAGCAAAGAGAGTAGGAAAAAACAGTGGTTGAAATGTATATTTAATATTTACAGAGTGGATCCAGTGCAAAATAATGAAAACCAAAATATCTCAGCAGTGTAAGCCAGTATGTTGGTGTTCAAAACCACTAAAGGGTTTGATCATTTAACCCTAAATAAAGTGCCTCTAGTTGATATAAAAAACAAAATATACCCTATCAATCCCTATTTCCCGTATCCTTTAAGTTTTGTTGAATTACTCTCTAGATAGGAGTTGTGATCTCTGGATTCTATTTAGCTTAATCTCAAATTCATGGTTTCTTAAGCGGCCTACTTGAGAGAAACCATGACAACTCCGCATCTTTTAGCTGAAGTCAATCTCTATCCCCAAGCCCCAAATCTGTCTTCCGTCTTAGCTTGAAACTTTTTTTTTTTTTTTTGAGGGTTTGAAGTACCTAGACAACCCTTATATTAAGTTCATTTGGTATTTGTTCAAGTACCCATTCCCTATGAACTTCAGACTTGGATGGTATAATGCTAGCTCAGCAATCATGAAGCTGAGTACTTGACACCAGCTATTGAGAACCCACATGGAGAAAAGCCTGTTTCCTCCCCTAAGTGGAAAATTCAGAGTCCGGGAACTTGGAACTCCTGGATAGGAATAAACACCCTTCTTCTGCAACTCTACCAAACATTAAATATACCAATAGCAAAAGCTATATAGCACCTCGGATTTGGAGGCAAAGTATCAACTATAATAATTACAGAAAGAAAAGAAGCTAGGGTAGGGTAAGTCTCTGATTTATCTGAGGTACTGTCATGCTAATCACACTTAAGATATGGTAATAATGCCTGTTAGGAATTTTTCATAGGATTTCTTTTTGTAGTTGTTACATAGGAGTTTTTGGTAATTATTAAAAATAAACTACTTACATATTTGTACATAATGCCTCTCTACAGTTTTCTTATAAGATTGTCACTAAGAGAATGACAAGACAACACATTAGCTGAAAATGATCTCTTGGTGAGGGAAAATTCTGTCAGAGAAGAGTAGTATCAGCTCTGATTTGCTCTGCGTTTCTAAGTGAAGGGAGTGTCCCTAGAGCAACAAAGACCTCTAAGAAAACAGGCAGGATGGTTTTCCCTGGGAAAACCTGCCACCTACTGAATCCCTTAGAAAAAAACTGGGACACCGGAAGAATGACCAGAGGCCATTTAGTTAAGTGGCTTTTAACCTGTGCGCAGGCAGGCATTTAACTTACCCAAGGGAACTACCTTAATGACTTTCCACTCAAAAAACAAGTTCAATTTCAAAATGCACATAGTGTAGAGGGTAGGAGTTCAATAATCTAGGTGGGAATGAACTAATTCCTTTCAGAATATAAGAAAATAGTTTTTAAATCTCCAGGCAATCCCTGCAGCTGGGATTTCCTCTGTTCATGGATGTGGGTCCAAAAATAAAAGAGACCTTCCTTTCTTTGGTGTGTGGGAGAAAGAAAAATCGGAATGTCTGACAAGCTAGGACAGCAGCAGCATGAGTGAAATAATTTTTAAACTACCCCTCCCCGCCCCCCCAAAAGCCCCCCCCTCCAAACAAAACCAACATCCTTGACCTAAAAACCAAACATGACCAGATTCTAAAGAAAGCAAGTATTTCAAATCGCCTGCTGGTTCTCTGTACAAAAAATGATGGCATAAGCACAAACTCGTATGAAACAGGTTTTATCTTTCAAGTCCTACTCCTCAAGAATCACCTCCTTGTGATTCAGCTTCTACAACGTCAAGTGTTCGGGAACAGTCTCGGCATCACGAGGACCGACGTGTCAGGCCGCCTCTGCGGGTCCTGTGGCCCGTGGCCGAAGGGAGCCCAAGGATTTTCCGCTTCAGCGGAACGGCACACACACTCGTCTTTCTTCCGCCAACTCGGGCCTGGGCAGAAGGACCTCTGCCCCGGCTGTTCTAGTATAGTAAGCATGTGGGTCTCCCCCGTCAGCCGCCTGATACACGGAGATGCTTGTCTCCCGCTTTAAAAGCCCCAACAGTCTAACCTCCTCCTGTCCCAGGCACTGGCCCAACCGAACGCACGAAGCGCCCCGGGGCACCGTGGAAGAGCAACCTGGACGCAAACCTGGCGCGTTTCGGTCGGCGCGCACTAGCGGTGTCCGGTGTACGCCTTAAACCAGGACGTCACCGAGGCCGCGGCGGACGAGATCATGCCCCCGGCGCTGCTGCTCGCGCCGGGCGGGGACAGCTGGCCGCTCTGGCTCTGGGAGCCTTCCACGGGCTGCGAAGGGATATCACAGAACCGCGGGCTCGGCAAGTTCTCCCAGTCCGTGCCCAGGTCGGTCTCCTCGTCACTGACGCGCTCGTCGCCGCTCTCAGCCGATTCCCCGGCGGCGCCGGGCTCCACGAACTCCATGGACTCCTCCAGGTCCGCCCGCACTTCGAAGGGTCCCGACCTGCGCGCACACACAACCGGCACTGTGACGACGGTGACGCGGGCCTGACGGGACCGAGAGTCCACCCGCTTCCCAAGCCTGCACCGGACCCCCCGGTGGTCTGTAATGGCGGCCTGCTTCACCTGAAGAGCTGCCAGCCAAGGAGGGAATGAAACCACACCACCACATGTTCAAGTGCACCTACCCGATTTGTGAAGATCCTGGATGGGAAAAAACCCTCCACCGAGACTAGGCCTGCTGGTCCAAAGTACGATTTCCTCTTTAAACAACTGCAGTATCTATGCATTCCGATGGGACAGTTTTGACAAAAACAGCCACTGGATGTATACTCTGGGCTGTCCGTGGAACGAGTAATAAACAATATAGGAAAAAACGTACAGATGTTCTCTGCCTTACGGAAGCCCCCAGTTTGTACGTTCCTACGACTCAAAAGAGCCAACCGGTATGGGTGCGTGCATGTTAGCAGTGCTTCCTTGGATTGGTGTCAACAGCAGGCTCAGGCACCCATTTTAAGATATGATCACGATTTTCTAGGGGCCCATTTATAACAGAACGAGCTATAACTATTTAGAACATAGTCATCTGGAATAATCCATATTTCTGCACTGTATTTGAGGAGAAAACTATTCCCCAAAGGTCCCTGATGACATCATCGTCTCCAAATCTAATCACCTCCCTCAGGCCTCACCCTCTGGGACAGCTCCTGAGCGCCGCTGTGGGGCGGTGTCTGCAAACCCTGTCAGCCCCTGCCTCACGAGAGCCCGGCTGCGCTGGCTTCGGGTGGGCAGTCACCCCACTGCCCCCTGCTCTTCTCCTAGGACTTCCCGGTAGCCAAGGCCCCCCAGCAGCCCCTCTCCAGTGCTGCCCCCAAGATAAGGACACATGCCTCCGATAATGACTAGGGAAAATGATGGGGGCTAGCAAAAATCAAATGACAGAGATCCTAGAATAGGTACAGCCTGCCATTTTAGTCTATGGCCCCAAATTCTTTATGGCCTTAACAATGACAAAAGCCTAGCGATGGCCTCCCATAATGTACCTGACCATGGCTGCACCTTCTGACTCACTTTCTCCAGGGTCAAGCAGCCTTTGTTCCTCCAAGACAACCTTGCTTCCCGGCTGCACCAGCAACAGTAACAGCTAACACTTCTGTCCCAGGCACTGTTTTTAGAGCTTTACAAATATTCATTAAATTGGAAGATGCACCATAGGGTTTCCCTTTGGTCTCCTGTGAGCAATTTACATATCAAAGAGCCCCTCTGACCAGGGGCATCCAAGTTTACAAGGCCTCCATCTAGCCCAGAAGTCCTTACTTTTTGCAAGGGGTGAAGGCAGCAAGAACTGGGAGACTCTCCCCATGAACCCCCCCCCACCTCCCGCTGCAGCTTTTCCAAACTAACCATCACTGAAACCGGCATCTTAGCTGAGTATCCCTTTCCTGTTTCCTTAAAAGGCTCTCCTTACAATCCATTTCTTTTCTCTTTTCCTTTTTCCCCTTGGTAAATAGGTCTCCAAAGATTTGTTTTTGATGCCTCTCCTTCCTCCCAGCTTCACCGCCCGCCAGGGCTCTCCACCGGAGCGCCAACCTTTCCAGCTCATCTCACCTTATCTGAGCCAGGCAGCCCTTCTCCAAACAAGCCGGCTGGGCCTCCGCCCTCATGCTCCTGCCTGAGATCACCGAATAAATCCCCTTTCGAGCCTCAACACATCCCCCGCCCCCCCAGCTCAGGTCCTCACTGCACCACCACCCCTTGTAGCCAGCCTCTACCTGCAGTCAGCCCCACCCGCCTCAGCGCACCAGAGACCTGCCTGTTTCTCTCCTCGTGGCGGCGGCCTCCGAAAACTGTTCATAAGGTAGCACCTCAGCGGGTTCCCGCCTTTCCTAAACATAGGGCCCTCTCGTTCTGTCCTGTTGAGCTTTGTTGTCCGGGGGCCTCTGCAACTAGCTCCAGATGAAGCCTTCCTGCTAGCTCAGAGGCATAGCCTGTTTTCGGTTCCTCTTTGATGTCGCCTTATCTACACGGACTGCCATTGTCCCCAGACCCCCTCTCGAAAGGTTTTCCCAGGAGAGAGGGGTGATACTTCCTCCAGCAGAGCTCCCCAGGAAGCCACGTGGGACTCCAGTGCTCTGCTGGAGTCCCACAGGGCAGAGTCTAGTGACACGGAACAGGTACTCAGTGAAGTACTGCAACTGAAAAACCAGTGGAGGATTCCCAAAGTGGCCAGATGGAGCAATTTCTGTTACCCAGCATACCCTGAGCCACACACATCACACAAAATTAGCAAAAGAATTAAATCTTTTACGCTTAATGTCATCAGGGAATAAAAATTACTAATTTTCTCAAGATGCTGCAGGGAATTCTTCTTCTCGATTAAGGCAACAAAATGACCTTTTTGGTTTTTTAAAACTCTCTTTTGCAAAATATCTTATTTCAAAAATATTACCGGACAGAATATACAACATCAAAAATGAACTCTAATGTAAACTACGCACTCTGGATGATAATGATGTTAACATAGGCACCATCAGGGTAAAGACTGAATCCGATAAGAAAAATCAACAGATGTTAAATCTAGGGGGAAATTCTGATGAGCCGGATAACTGCATGGTCTCAAAGTGGCTCCCCACAGACTGCTTCTTAGTTGCAAGGAAGGAAAAAGCTAGGATTATACAGTGGAGAAGGTGGAAAGCATCGTGACTGGGTGATCAAATTAACATCACCAATAAGGGACAGATGGCCACTGTGGCCCCCAGAGTGTCCAGGAAACACTCCTGGCCCAGGCGGTGTTCCAGCCTCGAATGCACAGAATTCCTGGAATCTCACTCCAAGGAAGCACCAAATTCAGAATGAAAGTTCTATTAATACAAAGGGAAAAATGTTAATGTCGTTAAAGACAAAGTAGGCAATGGAAATACTCCAAATTTAAAAGAGGTTAAAGAAACATAGCAACTAAATCCAGCACCAGACTCTAGGTTGGACCATATACTGGAGGGAAAAATGCTGTACAGGACATTAATCTGGTCCACAGTGGATTAAACTATTGTTATCAATGTGAAATTTGCTAATGTTGGTAACTGTACTGTAGTTAAACAGGAAAATACCCCTATTTTTAGGAAATACATATAGAAGTATTGAGGAGTCAAGAACCATGATATATGTATATCATGTACTCTCACAGGGTTCAGGAAAAAAAATGTGTATGCGTGTGTCTTTATGGAGATAGATTACACAAATGATAAGGCAAATAGGGTAAAACGGTAACAAAGGTGAGTCTGGGTAAAGGGTATATGTCTTTGTACTACTACTATTCTTTGCAATTTTGAATATTTTTGCAAGTTTGAATTTATTTCAAAGAAAAAAGGTTTATGTTGGATTCTGGATGGGATCCTTCCTTCAGCTGGTCTCCATGGAAACAGGACGTCCCACCCAGGTGACTGACTGAGGCAGGTGTGGAAGGGGACTTCTGAAGCTCCAGCTCCTCGCCTCTGGCCCACAGACCACCAGCTCGGGGGCAATGAGCCTGGCTAAGTATGTGTACTCTGTCACACAAACCCCTACCCTAACTGGAGAGCTGACTCCAGGGCAAGCCCAGAGAAAACTTCAGACCCTCCAAAGAAGTCCACCCCTAGCAGAAGAGAGCCTGTTTTTTGGACCTACCACCAATACTGGATATCGTCAATCCTTTCCATTTTTGCCAAACTGATGGGTGAAAACTGGAAAGCTGTTTTGAATTGCACTTCTTTATTCTTGATTGAGGCTGAAGACTTTTTTCATTTGAATACTGATTACTTGCATTTCTTTTGTGTGACCTGCCTGGATTAATCCTTTGGCTGTTTTTCTATTAGGTCTGCTTTTCTTTTAGATTTGAAATTTTAATCCGTCGTCTGATAAACAGGCTGCAAAACAGATCTGTTGTTTATCTTGTAACTTTCTGGAATCTGGTATTTTACCAGAGGCACTTAGAGTTTTTACACAGTAAAATATGTAACTCCTTTCCTTCATGGTTTTGGGGTTTTGTGGCTTGCATGGGAATTCCCTCCCCATCCTGTGATTATAAAACACTGTCTTTCTCCTATTTTATACGTTTTTTTCCTTCAATAAAATAAGGTCTTTTCTATCATCTGGAATTTATTTTTATATACAGAATGTAGTATGAGTCGAGCTTTATTCTTGTGTGAATACCCCACTAGCCCGCCACTATCGATTATTATCCAGTTCAACATGCTGGCCCTTGTTGTGTTATGCTTCTCACAGGGACAGGGCCTCTCACAGGGTCTCTGGACTCTCTTCTCTTCGTCTAATTGTTCCACCTACTTGCATGCTAACAGCACCTTGTTTTAATTACCTTTATACTATGTTTTAAAGAGGGCCAAGCCCATCCTTTACTATTCTTTTCCAAAATTTCCTTGCAGCCTGTGCTTCTAGTTCAACTTCAGAATTAGCTTGTCAAAGTTCCATGAAATACCTGTTGAAATTCTGATCAGGTTTCCTTTTGGGGAGAAGTAGCATTTTTGTAATACTCAGCCTTCCTCTCCTAGAAAATCCCGAGGGTGTTCCCTGCCTCAGGCCTTCTTTCATTCAGGCCCACGCCTCGTGCAGTACCTGGCAGACATTCAAGAAATAGGTGTGGAATCATTTTTTTTTCAAGTTTCATATTTTCTTTACATGGTCTGCATATATTTTGTAAAGATTATTCCTAGATAATTTATCGTTTGTGTTGCTACAGTAAAGGGGACCCTTTTCTCATTCCATCTTCTGACTGGCTGTCAGCACGTAAGCAAGCACGCTCTCTTGGATGGCCAGTTCACCCATCATACCCTCCACAACAACGCCAACCTAGCTTCTTTCTTTCCAACATAAATAGACCTTACTTCTCTGTAAAACCGTCCCGCCTCGCCTAGGCTCTGGAGCCATGTGAACGCAGCAGCGACACGGCATCCTCTTGTTTTCCTCACTGCACAGGAATGCTTTTATTAAACATTCATGGAAGGAACATGTCATTAAATACAGTCTTTTCTGTAGGCTTATGGTAGATATCCTTTATTAATAAACTATTTTTAACTTGCAACTAGTTTTCTTCACTTATTCATAGGAACGGAATTTTATTCACTGCTTTTCTGGCATCTATCAGGTTGATCTTACGGGTTTTTTTTCTCTTTTTTGATCTGTTCATGTAATGAAGTGGTGTGTACTGGTTAAAGGCATGAGTATCTACCACTTAGTGGAAGTGCTGGGACCCTGGCCCTACTACTCAGACTGCCTCTGTCATCAGGGGCACGAATTACTTGACCACGCTAAGCTTCTGTTACCAGCCCCCTCTGTAAAATAAGAATAATAAGTCCACCTATGATTTAAGGCATGTCTGGTAGTTGGCTCAGGGTCGATAAATACTGGCTCAATAAATATTAGTTCTTATTATTAATGATTAATTTCCTAATGTTGAGCCCTATATAAATAATGTACCAAGAGGATGGCAAACAACCCACAGAAATCAACCACTAAAACTGGGATGGATTTCCAACAGGTTCATGTGGTTTATGAACTAATGAATGGAACTTGAGGAGAGGAGCATGAACTCCCTGTAAAATGGCACAAAATTCTAGGTGTGTGTGCAGTTCCCTGGAGAGTGTGCACAGCTTTTTCCAAAGCGTTCTATGTCCCAGGAAAGTTACTGTTTTAGGTGGCGGGGAGAAACACAAGCCAGTGGCTAAGAGCAGATTACCATGGCAAGTTCCCTGCAATGTGGAGGAAGCCAAGCACCCTCGCCGGTGGAAGGGACCTCCCCTGAGCCTTGGTTCCAGACGTAAAAGCAAATGAACGATGGGAAGGGGACTCCCCAAAAGCACGTTCCCACCTTTTCTTTTCTTTGTCCTCTTTCACAAGTGCAGATACACTAAACCAAGTCGTATCTCAGAAGCATACGGACAGACAGCTAAGAGTGTGGAAAAAGGACACGTACTCAGAGAAGGGTTACCTGAATGGTCCTAAAGAAAAGCTTCCTCTGTGTCATGTTTTTTGGGCTGAGAGACCAGGAAGATCCCATAGACCAGCCCTGGCTGGTCTTTTTTGTTACTGACTCCTGTTTTTAAGGTAATGGATTTTAAACTAGTTCACCCCATAAACTTGAAATACCCTTTATCTCCAATAGATGGTGGCCAGAGAGACAAAAAGACTGGGAAGAACTGTCACAATGGGAGGAGGCAGGAAAGGAAAGGCACAGGAAAAGGGGCAGACACTACACAGTGCTGAGAAGGAAAAGACGTGGAGTCCAAGACACGGCTTCCGGTCTTCAAGGACGGCACGAGGCGGCCCCTCGGGGAACATGTGGGTTCTTCTATTTCATTTTAGGTGTTAAAAATGTTTGCTATTAATTTTCTGAGAAATGATTATGTAAGGACCATAAAGGTTCAAATATGATTAGCCACTCTTTCCTTCTGTACGGGACCGCATTATTTTTGTCCTTTGTGGAGACTCTGGGGGTGAGGACCAGGCCCCTCGCTCTGCCGACGCACATGACAACTCTATTAGAAGTACTCACAGCACCACCACTTAGAGAAAAGCAAATACCGTTCTTACCTGCCCAGGTGTTCAGAGTTCGGACTGACCAGGTACATTAGGTTCCTGAGAGTATGCAGTGGTTGTAACTGATCTAAGTTTACATGCTAGAAAAAGCGAAACACTGATTAATATTTTGAACCAGGTAACACATTAAAAATTAGCTCACAGTATATTTTCCATACCTGAGAAAAGCACAGGTAAAGAATATTTGCATTCAGTTTCTTCACTGCTCGAGTAAATTTCTGTCTACTGAGATTTTCCCCACAAAATTCACTGGAAAACAAACATACAATTTGTAAAATTGTATCTTTCTGAGGAAATTCTATGGTAAAATGTCTATCTGGAAGTACACCACAGCTCAGTATAAAACAAACCCCATGTCGTTTGCCTCTTTGTAAGTTAGACTCAACAGAGACTTTCTGAGAATGAACCACCGCCCTCAGGACGAGCAACTTCACCGCAGCTAAGAAATTACAAACGCAGAGACCCTCTAGCCAAGCAGCTCCACTTCGGAAAATTTATTCAACACAAATACTTGCACACCGATGAAATGACGAATGTACAAGATTATTCTGTGAAGTATAAATAATATTTATATTATTATAAATAATAATTTATTATTATTTATAATAATAAGGCTGGTGAGACCCTGGCACACTTACACAAAGAAGCCTCTGTTAACTATCCACTCCGTGGAGAATGAGAGCTGGAGGCTCACAATGGCCTGACGAGGCCCACCCAATTTGTACCCCCGCCGTCTTTGCTGCCCTCACTCTCCCCAGGGCTTGCTCCCCTCTTCCCTCAGGGTCACGTGATCATACACCCCCACCCACTCACATACCGCAAGCCCCTTCCCTGCCTCCACGTTCCCGTTCCCTTGCTTTCACTCTGCTTTCATGTCCTCCACGGGATTCATCACCATTGGACACACTGCTCATTTATTATCTGCCCCTCTGTTAGAATGAAGGGCCAAGAGGGCAACGATTGTTTTCACCACCACTGTAGCCTCTCAGTGCCTAGAAAAGGGCTCCAATATTTGTTAAATACTCAAAAAGGTGTAAAACACCCTAGTATATCTTTTGTGTTTAAAAGGGGAGACCGATGATAATACATATTTATTTGGCTTGAGATGTAAGGATGACCAGACGGGTAGGAAGGTCTTAGTAGAACTGAGTAGAACTTAGAACTGAGTAGACTGTAAACCTTTACTTTTTTTTTTAAAGATTTTATTTTGGGGCGCCTGGGTGGCCCAGTCAGTTAAGGATCCGACTCTTGGTTTCGGCTTGGGTCATGATCTCAGGGTCGTGAGATCAAGCCCTGTGTCAGGCTCCCCGCTCAGTGCAGAGTCTGAAAAGACTCTCCCTCTCCCTCTGCCTGCCTCCCCCCTCACCCCCACATGCTCTCTCTCTCAAATAAATCTTAGAAGAAAAAAAAAAAAGATTTTTAAGTAAGCTCTAACCCTGAGATCAAGAGTCGCATGCTCCACCAACTGAGCCAGCCAGGCACTCCTACATTTTTGTTTGAATTTTTAAACCACCTGTTTTTATTTTAAAAAGTTAAAAAAAATATTCAAGTGTTCTAATTTACCCAGTTCTTATATGTGAGCATGCCCTCTGAAGATCCTAGTTTGTCCTTCAATTATTTTTCCAAATGGGAGAATTCTCTGTGGTCTTCTCAAAGACTTCATGTGCAATTATAAGATAATGAAACAAATTTGCACATTAGGCTTTTGAAATTAATCTCAATATTTCACAGTCATTTTTCTGGCTTAATAATACTTAAATTCCTGGCTTTGGTTCAATTAGAGTAAGTACACAATAGGAAAATGACATCTACGATAAAGATGACATTGCCACCTTCGATTACTTGCCTGTTGCACAGCTTTTTAGGGAGATTTATGTCAAGTATATGAGACAAAATGTTGACCAGCTGAGTCGCATAGCACAATGCAGCACTGATCGTGTAAGCGGGGTTACTATGCTCCATGTCTGAAGTATAAAAACAACCATATACAAACAACTTTAATTTCAACAAAAAATAGCAATGAACCTAGATTTTATGATTTATAATTTTATCATTACATTGTTGATGATTATGTTTTGCTCCTTATTAAAATACTAATAAAAGGTTCATGGCCACACATTAATGTTTCATCATTTATGGTTTTTGCGGAGCGGAATGTAACCTAAGCAAATGAGCCCAGGCAGACCCAACATAAATGAAATTAAAGTCTGAACTGCTTGGACCTGCGAATGTATTATTTATTAGAACAGTAAATGCCCAACTTACATGTCACCCCTCAGAGAGGCCTCCCCTAGGCTACGCCTGTCTTGGTGACAACACCTTTGTTTCGCCAGCACCTAGCATCGTGCATGACAGAGAGCACATACTCACTGTGTACTTGCTAAATGACTAAGTGAACAATCTTTTCTCCACCAAAGAAAGCTCTAGAGGTTTTCAAGGGTTTTTCTACTGGGCTATTTCTATCTCCATTTCGGGCTGCTAAAACAAGCTCTTTACAAAGAAACTATAGAAACAGGACTCAACCGGCTAAATATACTAACTAGTGAGGTCTTTTCATATAAATAAAGCAATATCGGCCCCCCAAAAGTGAAATATCTAAAAAATGTTTTCAGTCCATTCACTGATGGACTGGATATAAAACGTGGTATAGCCACATTACATACAATGGAGTATTACTCGGTCACAAAAAGAATGAAATGCTAATTCATGCCACAATATGGATGAACCCTGAAAACATTATGCTATGTAAAAAAAGTCAGACACAAAAGGCCACCCATTGTATGATCCCATTTCTATAAAATATCCAAAATAGACACATCTGTAGTTACAGAAATCAAAATTACAGATCTTCCTTGACTTACAATGGGGTTATGTCCTGATAAATTCATAACTTGGAAATATCCTAAGTCGAAAATAACATTTAATGCTCTAAACTACTGAACGCCATAGCTTCGCCTGGCCTGCCTAACACAGGCCCGGAACACTGACATGAGCCTGCAGTTGGGCATAATCATCTAACACAAAGCCTATTTATAATAAAGTGTTGAGTATCTCGTGCAGTGCATTGCATCCTATACTGAAAGTGAAACACAGAACAGTTATCAGCGTATCTACCGGCTGCGGACCTTCACGACCACGGAGCTGCCTGGGAGTTGCGGCTGCCGGGGCCCGGACCATGAGAGAATACGCACGGCACAGCGCTAGCCCAGGAAACGATCCAAATTCAAAGTTCAAAGCGTGATCGCTACTGAACGTGTATCGCTTTTGCACCAACATAAAGTAAAAAAAATTGTTAAGTTGACCCATCGTAAGTTGAGATCATCTGTAGGGGCTGCCCAGAGCTGGGAGGAGAGGCGACAGGGGCATGACAGCTCCGTGCCCTGGAGCTCCCGTCTGGGGTGACGCCAGTGCTCTGGAACTCAACAGAGGGGGTAACCACACAACACTGTGAATGTATTCACGCTGCAGGATTGTTCACTTTACAACCGTTCATCTCATTATGTAAATTTTACCTCAATTAAAAAACATACCTAACTTCTAAGTTTTCAAGGACTATTTTGATTCTCACCAGGCCCCTGCGTGGTTTTCTTCTCTTCCACCCAATTGTAGTATGCAGAGTAGTCCCCGTTGTTGGGAAGGCTAATCCAAGGCCCTGTAATGCTAATGCTGGTGTCCCCATTGTGATCGTCACAGATCCATCTTCCCGAGAGGTAAGTCGTCCTCCGGGCTTCAGCAAGCTTGCTCACGGTGCTGGAGGTCATGGCACTGTCGCTCTCTGAGGACACATCTGCGGGATCTCTAAAAATCAGAACATACATATGGATTTCAAGGGACTGGGATTTAAAGAGCATGCAAGATACTTGCCTGATATGTAGAACACTCAGAGATGCACACACGAGGACAGAGTTTAACTAGGATATTCAAAGGTAAGTAATTCTATCAGACATGAAGCTCAAACCAGCTGTGGCACAGAAGGCCATACCAATGTGAAGAGGATGGCACCATGAGCTGGGGCCTCAAGTATTTGGTCTCAAGACCCCTTTACATGCTTACAATTTTTTGAGGACCCCACAAAGAGCTTTTGTGTATGTGGGTCAGATCTACTGATATTTACTTGCATTAGAAATCTGAGAAAATTTTAAATTATTCATTCATTTGGAAATAATAAACCTATTACATGTTAACATAGCATATTTTATGAAAACAAAAAACCTGTACTTTTCAAAACAAGAAAATTAGTGAAGAATGGCATTGTTTGTTGACCAGCTGAAACACATAGAAAAACACAGCACTGGTCAAGAATTCTGAAAATCTCTTTTACACCCAAGTCTTGCAGTTGTTCTTTCAAGTAAAAGTAGTGTCCCATGCAAAAACCAGCTAGTTCCACTTGCAACCCACTCAAGTGCTTTTTCTTAAGCCCACCACAGCCCTTCAGTCTGGAGCCAAAGAGCCTTCTGCACACTTCCCATTTCATCATGTGGTATATTAAAACAATGTGTACACAAGGATCAAGACTTAATAAAATTTAAATAAAAATATGATTTCTACTGCTTCATCAAGAGCATCCTTGCTGTGAACTGCTTTTTTCCTCAAAAAACGCAAGTACATGGTAGAATACGACTAGTAACATAGTTGGTGTCACTGCTTAGACATCTGTCAAGGCACCAGTTTTTACCCACGATAGCTTCTGAGCCGCCAGTGCAAATGTCCACATGGTGAAAAGGGAAATGAAGTGTTACCGTTTGTACAGAAATACTTGCGACAGCGCAGACGGCACTCTGAGCTCTGAGCACCGTGGGCCGGGAGAGCAGGAAGGAACGAGAAGTCAGGGCGGACGCAAGCGGGGCACAGAGACCATCCGACCCCCGAGGTTGAGGCGTCGGCCGCCCAAGGGAAGCGCTAGGAGATGGTGTTGGACAAGTAGGTAGGGGAACTGGCAGACTGGGGAAGGGCCTCTGCGCTGCACTAAGTTGAGGTTCTGTTCTCAATCCTTTCTCCTCCTGCCACCGCGTGCCTGTGGGGTAAGTGCCCCTGGCGGTCACGGGGAAGTGGGGGAGGGCACTACGACCAGGTCTGAGCGGCACCTCTGCTTCTTCCTTCTTCCACGGAACAAGTTTGAGGAATGCGAATGAACAAGAAATCTTATTACAGGAATAACTTCAAAACTATCAGCTTTAAAAAATTACCAGCATATAATATCATATACTGCTATAAAAGATTTAAACAGCACAGGCAGAGAGGAGTAAGTTTTTCTCCATGTTTTCTCTTCTGCAGCTTCGCATTCAGTTGTCGGTCTCCTTGGTCTCCTCAGATCTGGGACAGCAACTTAGGACTGTGTCGTTGTTTAATGTGTTTTAACACTGATATCTTGGTCCATCAGAATCTAATTTAGCACTGGGGCTGCCTGGCTAGCTCAGCCAGAAGAACACCCAACTCTTGATCTTGGGGTCAGGAGTTCAAGCCCTACGTTGGGTGCAGAGATAACTGAAAAAAATAAACTTAAAAAAAGAATCTGATTTAGCATAATGTTTCCGTTTTATTAGCTTTTTCCTCCCCAAAGTCCTGGTCGCCTGTTTTTACACCAGTCTTTGGATACCCCAACTCCTCCCCACTGATCCAAAAGAGTCTATTTCTGAACTTCCTATTCTGTTCTATTTTGAATCTGCCTTTTTATTTTTATATTTGCCAACTATTACTAATGAAAAATTACTTGGTAAGAGTCGGGGAGCAGGTTTTCAAGCCAGAATAATCAGACCTTGAGGCTTTTAGGAAGTTAACTATGGCAACAGCCGAAAGGACACAGTGAAGTAGAGGGAGCAAAGCAGAGTAATTTAAGTCCTCACTAGTCACAGTGCACGGACTAGCCGGGGAAGGATGCTTGGAAGTGAGGACAACTAAGGGACAGGAAAATCCTCAACTGGAACAGCCTGATGGTTAGTGAGAAAGCAAATGAACTTCTCAGTAGCAGTTTTCAAACCTCATCAATTATCATCTGGGGAAGTTAAAAAAAAAAAAAAAAAGTATTACAAGATGGGCTGGAGGGCTAAAGGTGTGTCCTCTGGAACCTGTATTTTTCAAAAGTTCCTAATTGACTCTGATGAACATCCAGGTAGGGAACCACTGTCTTGTCCATCTGATGACTCCTGAGGGTATCCATGCACTAGAGCCTTAGACTAAACTCACAGTCTCTGGGGTGCCTGGGTGGCTCAGCAGGTTAAGTGTCTGCCTTCGGCTCGGGTCGTGATCCCGGGGTCCTGGGATCGAGCCCTGCATCGGGCTCCTTGCTCAGCAGAGAGCCTGCTTCTCCCTCTGCCTGCCGTTCCCCCTGCTTATGCTCTCTCTCTCTCGCTATCTCTATCTCTTGGTCAAATAAATAAATAAAATCTTTAAAAAAATAAACTCACAGTCTCCAGCGCTTGCCAGGGGCTAGTTACCAGGAAAAGGCTACGTCAACAGGTCAGTCAACAAGTGAGGGCCCCACTTCTCTGAGGGCCACCGCCCTTCACCTTGGCTGCCTCCCCTATTTCGTGCAGCGTGTACTGTTTGCTGAAGCAGATAAGACTTCAGTTTAATTACCAGGAAAGCCAATGACCCCAGAATGAACCCGATAAATGAGGCGTTTCCATATTTGAAAAATACCTGATCTCTGAAACTTGATCTATTCCTAGAGTCAAAAGACTCACTGTACCTCACACTAGTCTTTACTTCCTCGATTGGAAAAATGACAGAGGTGAGCTCTAATATATGAGATCGCCGAAGATCTGCCAGACGCTCATAATGACTTCTTAAGTCAATGGTTTTTTTTTCTACCAGGTCACCAAGTCTGCGATTGTGCCTCTGAATCTTCTCCTTTTTCTCTTGATGCCGCTGTGCTCGAGTATAGAGCTTCTGATTCTTTTCCTTGGTTTTGAGAAGGCCTTCAGAATCTGAAATAAATCACACCCAACAATTATCTCTACAAATGGCTCCTGGGGCCTACAGAACCCACCTCCAAGGGTAAGCGTCTTCCTGAAGTTTAAACCGAAAGCAAAACCTCAATCAGGTTAATGTTCCACTAAGTGGAAATTGAGAGTTTAGCTTAAGTAAATAAATAAATCAAAGTGGACCATCACCTAAAGGACTCTGGGTCTCCATCTGTAGTCATCATTTGTAAGAATCACTCAACAACTATCAAGTTTAAGTTCAAGCCAGGAAGTATCTGACTTATTGGTAAGCACTGAAGAATAACCATGATGGGCAGAAAAGATATCTAATCCAAGTTTGAAAAACTTACTGGCTATCTGATTTTCCTTAGAAACCTCTTACATATGCCTTGGGCTCCACTGAGACCCAGGGATAATCTCACGACAGGTGGTCATGCAGCAAAGAAACAGACCAAGGGCTCTGAAAAGTTACAGTGGAGTGTGGCGGCACCCAGCAGGGTGGGAGTCCTTATTATACGACAGCCTTTGAAGCACTGCAGGGGCAACCAAAGCCCGGCCACACAACCAAGAGTGGAGACAGATGCTCATCCTGTCTGATGTGTGTCCTTTTCATGGAGCTCCTTCAGGTTCTGGATCAAAACCTGTTAGGGTGTTAGGGCTGTAACTCAACTTCTCTCGAGTGGCAAAAACGAGTTGCAAAATCTCAGACAGGGCGCCTGGGTGGCTCAGTTGGTTAAGCGGCTGCCTTCGGCTCAGGTCATGATCCTGGAGTCCCGGGATCGAGTCCCGCATCGGGCTCCCTGCTCGGCGGGGAGTTTGCTTCTCCCTCTGACCCTCCCCCCTCTCATGTGCTCTCTGACTCTCTCATTCTGTCTCAGATAAATAAATCTTTAAAAAAAAAAAAAAAAAAATCTCAGACAGACTCCTAGAAGTAACTCAGGTGCCACCCTTCACAGGTGGCAGGACACCACCAGTCACCTAATCTGCACTAGTGCAGACTCAGCACTCAAGAGTTTAATTTGTCCTCTCCATGCCATCTCCCCCTAAACATAAAAACACTTTGATGCTACTTCTGTCATCTACTGTTGCTTATTTGGGTAAGTAACTTTATAGCACAGATCGACTCAACCTTAAAGGTTCATACAATCCAACTTCCCTATCTATACCAAATATCTGTATTATTCTGTATCATGACACATAAAATCAAAAGATTCTGGAGAAATATTCATCAGGTTCTACAGTTTATAATATATAACCTTTTCCAAATATATGTGATATTTTAACAACAAAATTTAAACAAATACTATTTACTGGGTAACAAGCTCTTCACTTGTGGACTTGAGACCATGCATGGTTTCTGGAATCCATGAACTCCCTTAAAATTGTTTGCAAAATTTTTTGAGTCTCGTCTAAAGGGTGGCAACTAGACTGCATTTATGTTCTAAAGAGCAGTGGTTCCCAGCCCTTGGTAGGTCATCAGTACCACCCAGAGTAGTGCTCCTCAAAGTGTGGCCCGTGGATCTAGGCCCATCAGTAAACTTTTACCAGTCAGACAAGAGAAATACAGAAATACAGAGTAAGTTTTAGCAACATTTTTCTTTGACATGCCATCCAAGTGTGCAATCATTTTTCTAGTATTTTATTGTACTTTATAAAAGTACTGGTATCAGCTTATGACATTAGAAATCAGAGAGGGAAAAATGGTCTTTTACTACAGACAGTTTAAGAACCTCTGACCCAGTCCCCACACGAGATTTGAATTTCCTAAGTCCAAGGTGGGTCCCAGGATTCTCTCTCTAGATTTTACAAGGGTTACCAGGTGACTCTGAGGATTTGCTAGGTCCACTGCTTTAGTACCAAATCTTTTCTGGGGTGGTCGTTTTGTTTTGGGGAGTTAGGAATCTGTTAAATTCAGCTGATCAAAGTTTTAAACTTGCTCATCAGGCAAGGCACAAACTCAGTAAATCCAGCAATTCTAGGAGGTTCACAGACACCTGGGAGCAAGTCGCCCATGTGAACATCATGGGAGGATGTGGGGAGGGGGGTAAGTTTCAAGTCCCTACGCTGCTGCTGAACCAGAGCCTCTGGAGATGCACACAAAGCTCAGTGGGTAACCAGCTGTCTGTGGTTCTGAGCACCTCTTCCCCATGCTGCTTTCCTCTCCAGCTTACTAAGCCTGTGAAACTCCACAGGAGCATTTTATTAGGACAAACATTTTCAAAGGAAGCTTTTGCTCTATTACATACCACTATAAAATACTTGCTTCTGAAAGCAACGAGCAGACAAGAAAGGGATTCATAAGGTATGATGGTGACTCACTTTGAATTTTAAACAATGATCTTCAGAAATACATGGAATATGTCTAAGGATACAGGATTTCTAAGAGGACTCTCCTAAAATTTGATAACCATTTACGATGAAGGATGAGGTACACAAATATAATGTAAGATTAATACAGATTAAAAGGTGTATGAGACTCACAAATAGAAAAAGCCAATATTCTGTGTTTCTGGAGTGAACTAATAATTATATCTGAGTACCAAGCTTCTTCTTAGCAAAGGCAAATGGGAAATATAAATTCCTTAACTTTTTTAATTGAGAAAAGTAGTTTATTCAAAGGCCATCATATTTGTGTGTATATGTATATATAAAATATATATATTTGGAAAAATATTTACTTAAAATCCTTATACAAATGTTTTACAAGAGGAGGAAGGTAAGCAGGAAACCTTTCCAGGTTGCTGTTGCCTTCCCACCCCTTCTCTCTTTCTCCGTCTCTCTAGTTTATTAATCCAATGAAATTCCACACTAGCCCTTTAGGGTCTAGAAGAAGGGGGACACATTACTTACTTATTTTCATTTCTTCATTTCCTTTACAGATGGTTTGTTTCAGCTGTTCAATCCTCATCTTACAGGACATTATTTTCCATCTCTTAAAAAAAAAAGTATGCAATAAATATCACAAATGTTGGTCTCTTATGATTAATAGGATTTTATACCTAGGATCACTATTATTTTGAGGCATAACTTAGAAAACACAATGAAGAAAAGACCAATATAATTCTATTTATTGTAACTTTTGTGACTAACTATGGTGGACTACAAAAAGAAGAAAATGTTATTCTGGTTCAGTGCAGAAGCTGGTAGGAAATTAAGACAGAAAGAAATTCACTTACTTCTTTCATGTGTAACGAGGACAGAGAGAAATGGTGAAGTATATTCTCCTAACCTGCTCTGTCCAATATACAGCTAATGATCACATGTGGCTATTTAAAAGTCATCTGAAATTACGTAAAATTCAGTCCCTACTCAACACTACCCACATGTCAAGTGTTCAACACATGTGGCTAATGGCTACCATACTGGTGAGTTTAGACATAGAACGTCTGCGTCATCACAGAAATTCCTACTATTGCCCTGCTCTAAACTCTTGATGCTATTTACTGAGGAGACCATTAACATCACTATATCATCTCACTAATACAATACACAATTATTACTTGCAAAATAATAAAAACTTCAATAAAAACAGAAGGTTTTCTCCCTCAAGATGAATAAAAGGTCCGTAAAAATGCAACGTGGCAGTCAGTTAAAAAGTAGGATTACCTATTCTATAATGCCTCTATAACTGCGGATAATTAAAAGCCTAAAACAGCACTCAAGTACGGATGGTGTTTAACACTGGCCTACGTGACCGGTCTGCGGTACAAGCCGCAGAGCAGACTGCGGAGACGCTGCAGACGGCCGAGTGCTAACCGCCCTGATGGAGGGACACCTGAAAGCAGACTCACGGGGACCAATGGACTGACTCAAAGATGAAACGGCCACGAGACGTCTTCACTTTTAAAGGGCATTAGTCTTTAAGAAGCAATATTGAAATCTTTTATAGAAAAACTAGAAAACAGTACAGGGAATTTAGAAAAACAGCAAAGGGATTCTTTATAAATAGCCTTTAATGCTCTTTTCCCATACAGTGTATTTTGTTTCACTTATGTCACATACATTCTTCAAGTATTTAAAAATTATGAATGATGCTTATTGTGAAAAAAAAATTAAACAGCACAGAAGAGAAAAATAGAGTGATTAGCCTGACTCCTTCCCATTCTTCAGGGGTAATCTCAATTAAACTTTAATATGTATCTTTTCAGATTTTTTAGAGTATACTCATATTTAAAACACATACACAAATGGAATCATACTTCACCCTAAGTTTGCTCTGTCATTAAAAAAACTCTTGGATATCATTCCGTATCAACACATGCGGACTGATCATTCTTTTGAACAGCTATACTGTATCAATTATTTATCTCATCCTGTTTGATAAGCATTTAAAATATTTATGGATCACTACCCAGGCTCTAGTCAATCATCTTCTTATCCATAAATCTCTGCATTCCTGTATTTTCTTAGGAGGAAAACTGAATATACCACATGTGCAATTAAAAAAACAAAACAAAAAACACACCCCAACAAACCACTAACTTGTCCTTCAACCAAATACATCAATGTATACTCCTACCAACACTGAATAAAAGTATTATCAAACTCCTTATTTCCATATGCTGTACTCATTTTTTCCCAGTTATGTTCATTTTGCTCAGAGTCTTCAACATACAGAACTATTAAAACTTTTACATGGTCAGTGAAAAAAATGTTTCCCTTTTATGGCTTATAAAGGTCTGCTCATCTGCAGGTTATATTTATAAATACTCTCCTATATTTTAATATTTTTATGAGTTTACTTTTCACATTTAATCATCAATCCATGTAGGCAGTGTGTGTTTACAATGAGTAAGTTTTTTCAAAAAGGATAGTTCATCGTTCTTGTATTCCCATGTCAATACCAGACTTCATATTTATCCTTTATAATGGCTCTATAATTAATTGCCAGTACTCTGGCATCTAGATAAAATATTTGAGGGCCCACACTACAAATATATTCAAATAGAGGGCTGCCAAAAAATGATTCAAATAAATTTAAATTCAAAGTGATATTTTAAGCACTACCAAATGAAAAGCATGTAACCACAAGTATAAAGAATATTATTTAAATACTTCTTACAGCTTACCAACTGATCTGTTATCCATTTTCCTTCCATAGCTTTTAGCACTCTGCACAGAGAAAAGACAATCATAATTATATTTTGTGAAACTCAAAAATGTAAAATCAACATCTTTTTAAAGTAAGTTCTTAAAAATGTCTGGAAATACCAAAGTGAGACTCAAGCATTCAATAATGTTTTCCAAGGGTGCCTGGCCAGGTCAGTCAGTGCAGCGTGTGACTCTTGATCTTGGGGTTGTGAGTTTGAGCCCCACACTGGGTGTAGAGATTATTTAAAAATAAAATCTTTAAAAAAATAAAAAATAAAAATGTTTTCCAAATTCCCCATTCTCTAATTTTTTTCCCCATTTCCTTCTTTTTGCACTTTTAATACTGCCCAGAACCTTTCTGTAAACATTCACAATTTCCAATAACAGCCAGAGCCTTTGTCCTCAGTCATAATCAATCATTTCTATCAGTCATAATTATTAATAATAATATTTACAAGAGAATTCATAATCTAAAATGTGATGCTCAGTTCCCAAAGAAATGGCACAAGCCGGCACCTGTAAAAACCTGTCCTATGAAGTGTTCTACAGAAGAAATAAAAGTTTCTGTGATTAAGTTAGAGAAATGACTTAAATAAATCTAAGCAGGGTTCTGTAATGCAGGACATCTCAGAAGATTTAATCTGCTCATAAATGTTTTCATAGACCTGGAGTGCATCTGGAGAACAGTGACTAGGTCACAGTTTGGGACAGAAGATTCTACAGGACAATTCTCAAATCCAGAGGGTGAGATTCATCAGGGGTGCTTGTTAATAACTCAGATTCCAGGGCCTTGCCCCCCACCCCAGACCTAAAGTCAGAATATCTGAGGATAGGATTCTGAGAATCTGCATTTTTAACCTTTACCTCAGCTAATGAATTCTGATGTAGATGATATGCAAGACCACATTTTGCAAAATGCTGATCCAGAAGAAGAAAGATAAACAGAAGACTTGACATCTTACAGGAACCACCACTTATTTGCCTGTTCTGGACCCATTTGCTGCACATCAATTATCTGGGCCAGGGGTCTGACTCATCAGTCTAGTCACTGAGTGCCTGCTGCGAAGGCAATGGATCTGATCCCAATGTTTCCTAGGAACCTGATAATCTCTCCTGTTTTGCTTCTCCCACATGCACTGCTCTTCCACACTTTGAGATTGTATCCTAAATTCAACAAGTCAGCAATCCATGTATCTACATACCACAGCACTGAATTAAACCACACAGTGACAAGAGAACCTCCACACGCAGAAAAGAAAAAGGGAAACTCACTCTTTTTGAAATTCTTCTTGCTTGCTCTTAAGTTGGCTTAACCTTTCTTTCTTGTCTATAAACCTGTAAGAAAAAAATGTAATGTTTTATTTAAATGTTCATTCTTTTCAGTTCAGTGTGATTATGCAAATTCCTAAGGGCCAATCATTTCTGCAGACTCATCTGGAGTGTCCTGGTCCTGAAAGTAAACACACATCTTCTCAAGGTGGTGCGCACACAGCTGCTTTTGCCACTTGCTCACTTTAAAACTAAGTTCAAATTCTCAGCTTTAAAATTCTTTCATGGGTTTATAAAATATGTCTAGAAGCCACCCCCCCCCACCCCGCTCAGATTAAATTATCTTCCAAAACAGGCACATCAGAGCACTAGAGTGAATTTGAATTCAAGGAAATTGAGGCTTCTAACATAAACATGATTTTAATTTAGCTTAATTCAATCCTGCTCTCACCTATAAATTGGTAACTTATCATTTTTAAAGTACAATGTTTTTTTCCTTACTAATTTTATTGCTAGTCCTTATGGGCTAACAAGTTACTTAGTAGAAGTTATCAAAAGGAAGGGATATCACATCGCAGTTCATTTTCTCTACAGTCTTCTCCCCTTATCCTTTCCTTCCTGTTACCTTATTTAGGGTTTAGTCTGCCTTTTTTTTTCTTTGCACAGTTTAAGATGGAAACCTAGATGATCCATTTTAAGGCTTTCCCTTTTAAATATAACCATATGGGGCGCCTGGGTGGCTCAGTCGTTAAGCGTCTGCCTTCGGCTCAGGTCATGATCCCAGGGTCCTGGGATCGAGTCCCGCATCGGGCTCCCTGCTCGGCAAGAAGCCTGCTTCTCCCTCTCCCATTCCCCCTGCTTGTGTTCCTGCTCTCGCTGTGTTCTCTCTCTGTCAAATAAATAAATAAAATCTTTAAAATAAATAAATAAATAAATAAAACCATATAAAGTTATAAATTTCCCCCCAAGTATTGTGTTAGCTAAACCCCAAAATGTCTTTTCACATCATTTAGTTTGGAATTCCTAATTTTCCACAAATTCCTTCCTTGATCTCCAAGTTATTTAGAAGTATAGTGCTTAATTTCCAGATATACGGGTTTTTCTAGGTAACTCGTTGTTTTCCATTTTCTGACAGAATATACTCTATGAGATTTCAATCTTTTAATTTGAGAGTATCTTACGGCCTTGCATCTGGTCTGCCCTGGTGAAAAGTTCCCTGTGCACCTGAAAAAATATGTGTTCTACAGGCTTTGGGTACTGTGTTCTAGAAATGTCACCAGCTGAAGGGGATGAAGAGTGACATTCAGATCTTCTAGATCTGTACTATTCACTAAGATAGCCACCAGTCACATGTGCTGAGTACCTAAAATGTGGCTTGTTGCTTAATAAGTATCTGGGTAAAAAAAAAAAAAAAATTATATGACTAACATCATGCAACTGACTTTTAAATGAGCTAACAGTGGCTCGCTATCTTAAAAAAACACTATAATGCCATATGCTATAGTAACATAGTATGGAGTCCAAGATTAGGTTTTTGGCTGTCTCCCAAATTCCTAGCCTAAATGAAAACAATCTAACAGAATAGTAAGAACCCTAGAAATCGCTTCCTTAAAATGGTCCAGACTAATACCAGTCTAAAATATTTCTAAAACCCCATGTTTGAAACATATCCAAAGATATCTACTTCAAAATGGAAGGGATCAATAGATGAATGGATAAAGAAAACGTGATAAATATACATGCTAGAATACTACCAAGAAAAAAGAATGAGACTTTGCCATGTGCGGCAACATGGACAGACCTAGAAGGTATTATGCTAAGTAAAATAAGTCAGTCAGAGAAAGACAAATACCATATGATTTCACTTATATGTAGAATCTAAAAAACAAAACAAACAAGAAAATACTTAAATACAGATAATTGGTGGTTGCCAGAGGGGAGGTGGGAGAGGGGAGGTGGGAGAGGGGAGAACAAAACAGATAAAAGGGATTAAGAGGGACATACTTCCAGTTATGTAGTAAATAAGTCACAGAGATGAAAAGTACAGCACAGGGAACATAGTCAATAATATTGTAGTAACACTGTATGGTGTATGTGACAGATGGTGACCACACTTACTGTGGTGAGCACTGAGTAACGTATAGAAGTGTCAAATCAATGTGTTGTACAATACACCCGAAATTATTATTTTTTTAGATTTTATTTATTTATTTGAGAGAGAGACAATGAGAGACAGAGAGCATGAGAGGGAGGAGGGTCAGAGGGAGAAGCAGACTCCCCGCCAAGCAGGGAGCCCGATGCGGGACTCGATCCCGGGACTCCAGGATCATGACCTGAGCTGAAGGCAGTAGCTTAACCAACTGAGCCACCCAGGCGCCCCCACCTGAAATTATTTTAACATTCATGGAACGCTACATCAAAAACTAATGATGTATGTATGGTGATTAACATAAAATAAAAATTTTTTTTTAAAGATTTTTATTTATTCATTGAGAGAGAGAGAGAATGATAGAGAGAGAGCATGAGAGGGAGGAGGGTCAGAGGGAGAAGCAGACTCCCCGCTGAGCAGGGAGCCCGATGCGGGACTCGATCCCGGGACTCCAGGATCATGACCTGAGCTGAAGGCAATCGCCCAACCAACCGAGCCACCCAGGCACCCAACATAAAATAAGATTTAAAAAATAATAAAAAAAATTTAACATTGTAAGTTAATTATACTTCAATTTTAAAAAGAGAAAAAAATGGGAGGGATAAAATATTCTAATTATGACGCTATCATTTAATAGGCAGTCACTGAAAATGTATAATGTATGTTAAACAAAAAAAGCAAATCAAGTGGTATTATATACTTGTGTGACTAAATTCAAATTAGATTAAAAATTCAGTTCCTGGGCGCCGGGGTGGCTCAGTTGGTTATGCCACTGCCTTCGGCTCAGGTCCTGATCCTGGAGTCCCGGGATCGAGTCCCGCATCAGGCTCCCTGCTCGGCGGGGAGTCTGCTTCTCCCTCTGACCCCCCCCTCTCATGCTCTCTCTATCTCATTCTCTCTCTCAAATAAATAAAATCTTAAAAAAAAAAAAAATTCAGTTCCTGGGTGGCTCAGTCGGTTAAGCGTCTGCCTTCGGCTCAGGTCCTGATCCTGGAGTCCCAGGATCGAGTCCCGCATCAGGCTCCCTGCTCGGCGGGGAGTCTGCTGCTCCCTCTGACCCTCCCCCTTCTCATGCTCTCTCTATCTCATTCTCTCTCTCAAATAAATAAAATCTTAAAAAAAAAAAAATTCAGTTCCTGGGTGGCTCAGTCGGTTAAGCGTCTGCCTTCAGCTCAGGTCATGATCCCAAGTCCTGGGATCTAGCCCCGGGAGCTCTCTGCTCAGCAGGGAGCCTGCTTCTCTCTCTCCCTCTGCCTGCCACTCCCCCTGCTTGTGCTCTCTTTCTGTCAAATAAATAAATAAAATCTTAAAAAAACATTTTTTTTTTAAATTCAGTTCCTCAGTTGCACTAACGACACTTACGGCTGGTAGCTATCTTACTGGACAGTGCAGATACACATCACTGCAGAAAGTTAGACCAAGTAGCACTGCAATGGCCAGTAAGGTAGTAACTGCATGAAACAGTAAACACTCAAAAACCAGTGTGGGATGTAGACAAACTCATAGACTCATCCATTAATTTATGAGGCAACTTACAACAAAACATCTTCCAGAATAATAAATCTAATTATATATTCTGCAGCTGTGTACTCTCTGACATATTGTTATATGCTTCCATCTCCACATATCAAAAATGAGAAACTAATGTGGTATTTACTTCTACCTCACTGAGGCAATATGGTGATTCATGTTCTGATAACCTGAAGGAGGTGACAAACTCACAAGACTCATCAAACCAGGCAAACAAAGACTGACAATGGAGGATAAAATCTTGCTTTTAGAGGCTATAAAAGTTCTCCCTTCAGATCTGTTGTAGAAATGCCACTTTGCACTAAAACAAACTGGGATGACAAACAACCTTGTCCAGCTTTATACTGAGCTGGTTCTCTTGGGCTTCATTAAAAAACTTAAAATGTAAATATACAGTTGCCAGCAGGAATAATAAACAAAAGACAACAATTCCTACTGTATCAAACACTTCATGAGTAATGTTATTCTTCATGAAGGAAATTAAAAATAGGTGCTGTTAACAAAGCTAAACAGCAGATGAGATCAAGGACTGTGGCTGGGTCAGCATTTCAACTGCTCATCTGCACACTCATCCATTCTCTGCATTCTCCGTCCCACCACTCATGGAAAGATAAATTCATTCCACAATTCTGTTTTCTCAATATGGTTTCCAAGAAATAGATTAATGCACTCATCATATTCAAACTAGATTTTCTTTAAAGATTGTATTCATTCATTTGAGAGAGAGAGAACACAAGCAGAGGGGCAGAGAGAGAGGAAGAAGCAGACTCCCCGCTGAGCAGGGAGGGGAGCCCAACCCGTGGCTTGATCCCAGGACCCTGAGATCATGACCTGAGCCGGAAAGCAGACATTTAACCAACTGAGCCACCCATGTGCCCCCAAACTAGGTTTAAGGATACAAAAAAAAGCAGGGAGGAAAGGAATATTTTTGTACTATCTTTCAGAAGTGGGGTTTATCACAAAATATCTTGTGTCTTTTTCCATGTCAGAACATACAAACTAATTTCATTCTTTAACAAATACAGAGAAATTTCAGTGAATGGACATCCTATAATTTATCTGAACTCCTATTGATGAACATTAGCATCACTTCCAAATTTTCACTATTATCAGTAATGTTGTAAGTGAATAGCCTAGTGCACAAATCTTTAAAAGCTTTTAGGTTTCTCTAGAAATTCCTATAAATAAAACAAACTGCTGGGTCAAGTATTCACATGCAAAATTCTGGCAGTTATCTTTAAATTTCCTCAGAATCATTTCATATAATTTACAACCCCACCAACAGTTGAGTAACAGAACCTGTTTTATCTCACTCTCTCCAAACTGCACACTTCTTTTTAGTCTTTGCTAAACTGATCGGCCTCCCACCCCTTCCTCCCAAAGATCA